TCCTCTTCCTCCTCCTCCTCCTCCTGCTCCTCCTCCTCCTCCTCCTCCTCCTCCTCCTCCTCCTCCTCCTCCTCCTCCTCCTCCTCCTCATCTCCTCAATCGGGAGGTCGAGGAGGTGGTTGAGGAAGAGGATGTGGATGAGGATGCGGACGAGGAGTGGAGGAGGGTGAGGAGAAAGAGGAAGCGGAAGAGGCCCTCTTTTGAACCCTCTTGGGGCCCAAGAGGGCCATCTTGGGCTCCTGGAGGGTTCCCAGTGGGCCCCAAGAGGGCCCCAAGTGGACCCCAAGAGGGCCCCAAGAACCCCAAGAGGGCCCCACGAGGGCCCAAGAGGGCCCCAGGAGGGCCCCAAGAGCGCGCCAGGAGAACCCCAAGAAGGCCTCAAGACGGCCCCGGCAATCAGGTAGGTATCTAATTGCTGGGGCCCTTCTGGAGCCCTCTTGGGCCCCTCTGGGCCCTCTTGGGGCCCTCTTGGGGCCCTCTTGGGCCCTCTTGGGGTCTCGCTTGGGGCCCTGTTGGGGCTCACTGAGGCCGTCTCGGAGCCTCCTAGGGCGCCTCTTGGACCATGTTGGGCGCTTTGTTCTTGAAGGGAGGGGATATACTAAAAATATGTGTGTTTACGAAGGGAACGGGCCCCGCTTGGTCCTTTTGGGAGGCCTCTGGGAGCGTTCTTGGGGCTTCTTTTTTTAGGACGGCAACAGCTAATGTCCACATCCTTGCGTGGTGTGTGCGCGGAAGGATATGCGCGAACACAGAGGAATGCATCTAATTCGCTGGGCTGACTGCAGGCGGACGTCACCTGCAAGCCAGCATTGCAGAGATGAGCGTGAAGTCTATCTGGCTTAAGTTTGTTCTGAGCTGCACCTCACTGGGCCTCCATGCCGTCGCGGCCAATGCCAGCGATCCGCCATGTGAGCCACTGAAGACAGACGGCTTCGGCAAGGCACGGCTTGCGTGGCGGCGAGCTGCCTCCTTGGACGGGATTGTTCGTTCTTCTTTGAGTTTCGGTCGCCATGGGCCCCCTGGCGGCGCCATCAGCGCCGCCCCTGGTGCGCTCCGCGCCAGGGACAGGGGGTCCAGCCCATATCCAATTGTTTCACGTATTCTGTTTACCCGCCAAGGACCCGCCGACCACCGAAAACTGGCTCACACAGAGCACGTGCGAGATCGTTAAATCGAGCTGGGGCTCCGAGAGCAGAGGATGGAAATACTTAAGACGCTTGACTAGTTCACAACGAGCTGAAATATTACAAATGCCCTGCAAATACTTGTCTACGCGTTTCTGGAGAGGAGGCTTATCAAAAAGGGAGTTTGGGGAGGGCGTTGAGGTCTTGAAAATTTCGACGCATCTGGACCACGGCGCTGTTTCACCACCATTTTCCCCAAGCGTGAGTGACCAACGCCTCGTCAAACGCCCCGACCGTGTCGAGGAGATGGCCCATATCGAAGAAGGCTTCCGTATAGAACGCGCACCTGTACTGAGCAGCCTGCGCCATGCATACCAGCGACCTCGCCTGAACAGGGAGATTACCTCCTTGGCAGACTTCAACAGAGAACAGGAGAGAACACTACGGGGAGCAGTGACCAAGGACTGAAAAGCTTCTCTCGAGAGAGACGGTCAGCTTCTGCAGTGGGCGAGTAGAATTGAGCAACATGGCACATCACACTGAAACGGTAAGCACTATATCGCGCGAGTGCGCGGGTCAGCCCCAGGTTCAGAAGCTTGAGAACCTGAGCGCGCCCCAGACATTTCCTAGAGACGTCACGCCGAGCGGCTTCCCTCCCACCCCCTCCCTTGGCATGCTATAAATCATCAGACGCGGGGAGGCGCAGCGCAGCCTCCCGCGGGGAGGCGCAGCGCAGCCGATTTCTGAGCCCAGCGGCCCGCTGGCCGTGCTTGACGCCCGTCTACACCGCCCGTGTACACACGGTGCACGGTGAAACCAAATTCTTGCCAGAAATCCCGCAAGACGGAGATGCGCCTCCGTCATGCACAACCGGAGCTGGGGCGACCTGCTGGGGCGCTACAAGAAAAGCGCAAGCAGAAGACCAGCAAGATATGTACAACGATCCGCGGTCGGAAGTCCGCGCGGATTCCCTCGGTGAGCGCTGGACCCCCATCGACAACGTGAGGAAGAGTGCAAACCCAAGAGTTCTGCGCGTACCTCTGAAAGGGTATATGCATGTGCATTTCTGGCCTTCGAGCAAGGAGCACCCAATCCCTCCCGAACCAGCAGTGGCCCAGCCCCAACCCCCTCCGCTCCGATTGCTGAAAGGCTCGTTGGCACCGCAGAGCTCACAACTCGACCCTCGGACTCTCAGCATGCCCGACGAAGCCTGCTTCGGCGATCGACGTCGACGAAGAGCCGAGCGTCATCGATCCCGTGAGCCGTGATCCCGACGACGATCGGGGCACGAAGGAGATCGCCCGCGATCCCGTCGAAGAGAAGTCGGGATGCCCCATGCTGGCGGGGCGGCGGAATGGTATCTTGGAGCCGTTCGTCCCGCTCATCTCGCAGCGATTCATGATGTCCAGCAGCTCCGCCTCGCGGACCGCGGCGGACTTGTGCGGGGAGAACGGCAGGGCTATGCGGTGAAAGGCGTTGCCCAGGAGCGTCAGGTCGTCGGCGGTGATGCCCTCCGCCCTCAGGACCGCCTGGGCGCTCGGACTGAGGCCGACGCCAGCGGCGAGTCGCTTGATGGCGTCCTCGCTGGGGAACTTGAAGTCCACACCGGGGCGCTGGATCGAGACCAGATGGATCGGCAGTTTGGCTCGCAAGGCCGTCACGATCTCGATCAGCACCCAAGGTCTAGTGAGCACGTTGTCCGTGAGAAGCAGCACCACGTTGTGGCTACCCCTGATCATGACAGGGATCTGGGCCATCTCCTCCAGGTCGTTGGAATCGAGGAAGATCGGCCTTCTGAGGTTGAACGCGGGGTGGGTGGGATTCTCCTTGATGATCCGGCGCATTCCTTCCTCTATGAGCGCCGCGTCCGACCCCGCCTCTTCCTTGAAGTGTGAGATGAAGGCGAACGCGCTGTCGTCGGCCATCTCCTGCAAGTAATCCTGGATCAGATGCTTCGGAGTCTCCATTACGTCTGAATGCAAAAATTCGCGGGCCCTGTCGTTCAGCCAAGAGACGAAGCAGCTGGCATACTTCAGAGCGAACACGCGTGTGAATTCGTATGCGCTCACGATGGAGGCGAAGTCGCCGTTGTCCATAACCAGCATTGTGCAGTCGCCCTCTGCGAAAAATTCGCCCTGGTTAGTCCACTGCGTCCATAACGCGGCCTCGCTGATGTGCTGGCCTCGATGTCGCATTACCTGCCTCATGTCCGACCCTTCCTGTTCTCTGCCCCGTATGTAGTTCGTCAGTGTCCTCCCCATTGCGGGATAAGAGTCCGCAGAACGATTGAGCTTCACGTAGGCGCTGGTGCCAGACTCTACGACGAGCATCCGCTTGCAAGAGTCCCCGAGCCCGAACACCAACTCCCCCGAGATCAACGAGATCCCCGACATGGCCTTGCAGCAGAGCTGTCTCAGCAACCGGTCATTCGAGAGGCCGTCGCGCCTGAATAGCGGCACGAGCTTCAGCAGAGGAAAACGTACCTCCTCGTAAAGCTTCTGCTGAAGCACCTGCGGGAGGGCCTGGACCATCTTGTTCTCAACGTCCATGACGTCCTGCAGGGCCCTCCCGGTGGGCTTCCCGAAGTGCAACCGCAGCTGGTACGAGAGCGTGGGGGAGATGCGGCGGCGGCGCAGGTAGCGCCTGGACGCCTGCTGCATCTGGAGGTTCTGGGTGTCCGTCAGACATATCATGGCCTGCGTCATGTTGGCGATGAAAAATGCAACAAAGGCGTGGGCGCCCAGGAGCACCAGGCCCTGAAAGGAGATCTCGAGGAAGGTCTGCGGGGGCGTGAGGCTCGTTCCGTGCAGTTGAGTTATCACCCAGTGCACGGAGAAGATGTACTGCTCGGAGAGCGCCGCAGACTCCATGAGCGCTTCATTAGAAACCCATCCAGAGCTGCTGGCTTGGCCCACGCCGTACCAAATGCACGCGATGATGTGAATGCCGACGCATAGCCCAGCAGTCAACATCAAAATGTTGACGACAATTGTGAGCCCGTCGGAGGCGTACTGTAACATATCATTGAGCATGTGAGAGAGTCGGCCAAGTCTAAGCAGACGAAGCACGCGCACAAATCGCAGTGCCCGCATGACTGGTATCGCCGTGAGGGCGGTGCTGTCCTTCTGTGAGACCACAAGCCAGTCTGACATGAGTATCAGGACGTCGAAGCAAAACCAAGAGTGGAGATATGCCAACGCGACGAGCTTGGGCCTCATCTCGATAGAGCCCTCCTTGTGGAAGCCAGTCACGAACGACAGCGGGATATCGAAGGTCCAGAAAAATCGAGCGACCCAGTCGAAGAATACGATCAAACCTGGGACACGGCTGAAGCTGTAGAAAGTGTACAGAGGCACGGTTATCGTGTCGTATGCAATCAGAAGAAGACTCAGAAAGCTCCAAAGTGTCCCCAACCACCGCGAGGGATGCACCATCAGCCACTCTGACACGAAACCTGACGACCTGAACACGACCACGTCACAATCAGTGAGCTCCTCAAAGGTCCTTGAGCTCGAGGTGATCCTGCGCGGCTCCAGGCTGGCCTCCTGGGGGTCGGCGAGGTGGCAGATCGGCACCACGCTCACCCAGCTCTCCAAGACGCTGAAAGTTGGACAGCTCGAGGCCGCCGACTCGCTCGCCTCCGGCGTGACCAGCGACAGGCGGCCCGACGTCGGCACCTGCTCCGGGCCCTCGGGGAGGCAGCTCTGCTCGGCAACCACCTCCGAGCGAGACTGCTCGGACTCCAGCACGGACAACTTCTCAGAGACGTTCACCGCCTCGCTCTCGCGCCGCTGGTCGTCGAGCTCCCGCCTGTGCTGGTCAAGCAGGCGGGCCCTCAGCGAGTCGAGCTCCATCAGGAGGCCCTCGAAGCCAAGAGCCGCAAGATTCTCGCTCGCCCGCGCGCGCGCCTCCACCTTTGGGGAATGTTCCGCCATGACCGAGATTCCCTCGAGGCATCAGACAACCCACAGATCGCGGCTTGAGCCAAAATGGCGACGGGAGCTTTCTTGGGGCGTCTTGGGGCCTCTTGGCCCTTCTGGAAGCCAGCGTGGGCCGTCCTGGAGCGCTCCTGGGGTTCTCTCGGGGCGTCTCGGAAGCCTTTGAGGCACTCTTAGGCGGACTGGGAAGCCCGGGGGCCGCCGGAAGAGCATCACAGGAGGCTCTCCTAGGCCGTCTTGGGGCTGTCCTTGACCGTCTTGGGGCGTTCTTGGGCACCTCTTCGGGCCTTTTGGGGGCTCTTCTAAAAATATATGCTTTACGAAAGGAATGGGGCCAGTTTTGTATACCGGGGCTCTCTTGAAGGGCCTCTTGGAGCCTTCTTGGGGCGTCTTGAGGGCCTCGTGGCCCTTCTGGAAGCCATCTTGGGCCGTATCGGAGCGCTCCTGAGGCCCCCTCGGGGCGACCGGGAAATCTCTTGGGCAATCTTGGGCGGACTGGGAGACCCGGGGGCCGCTGGAGGAGCGTCCCGGGAGGCCCTCCTGGGCCGTCTTGAGGCTGGGCTGTCTCAGCCGTCCTGGGGCATCCTTGGGCGCCTATTGGGGCTTTTTGACCGCTCCGATGTCCAAGGGAGCTGATATCCTAAAAATGCACGTTTTACCAAAAAATGGTGCCATTTTGGTTTCCCGGGGCGCTCTTGGGGGGCCTCTTGGCGGCCTCTTGGGGCGGCTTGAGGGCCTCTTGGCCCTTCTGGAAGCGATCTTTGGCGGTCTTGAAGCGATCCTGGAGCTCTCTCGGCGCCTGTTGGAGCCTTCTTGGGCGGACTGGAACGCGCGGGGGCCGCAGGAGTGGCGTCCCGGGAGGGGGCCACTACCTATGTACAAGGGGGGTTCTGGCCCAGGGCCCGGGGCCCGGGAACTCCCATATGTATATGTATGTATATGATTTACCTGTTTGGGGGTCCTTCCTCCGACCTGTACACAACTCTCCACGAGCACCTGAAGCGTAACATTCCCCAATCAGTGCTTGTACTGAAAGGTCCTATAGCGGAAGTTGGAAGATTAGGCGAAAGGTTCCCGCCGATTTTGGTAGCTGGCTAGGTTCCCGGGTTCCCGGCTCCCGCTTCCCAGGTTCCTGGTCCTGTGCGCGGGAGTCGAGATGCTGCTGCGTAGGAGCTGCACGGGGGGCGTTGGGGCTCGGTTCCCACGCCCCGGCCAAGGGCGCCGATTCCTGGCGCCCACCCTACGTGGGGCGCTGCCCGGGCGCAGCGGCATCGCCATCAGGGGTGCCTGATCCAGGAGGCGCGGAGGCAGGGGCAGAGGTGGGGCTGCGCCTGGAGAGCCGGAGGAGATCAGGGGGGGCGCGACCGGTTCGCTCGGGGTTAGCCTCCTGCACCCTGGCTGGGGGTGGCGGTTGGAGCGCGGCCCCGGTTCGCGTGGCCTCTGCGGGGGAGCCAGAGGTGTAATCTGACGGTTCGGCAGGCCTGTCTACCTGGTCACGTTCGACAGGGATGGCTCTCCCCATGATCACCACCTCAGGCAGGAAATCCCGTGGAAGGCGGAGCGTCGAGCCCGGGGAGACCTCTCTGGAAACGCTGGTGGTGATATAGCACAGATGCTTCACGGGGAGTGGGCTCGAATGGCTCAAGTGGGAGGAAGTTGTGGCCGGCGCCGAGGGCCCCCCAAGCCTATAGACGTGGAGGCATGCGGTGTCGAGAGACACTTTGACATTACCGGGGGGGTGCACGGGCGATGCGATCCAGCCGGTTCTAGCATCGCATGAGAAGCTCGGGAGGCTTCGTTGACAAGCCCAAACCGACAGGAACGCGTGCGACAGCTGCTCCTAGCTCAGGCGCGAGTGCCCCAGACGACGCCAGCGAGTGTCGCTTGCCATCGATCTGCGTTGGCGCCTATGGCGTCGTTGTGGCCGCGCGCTCAGTGCTGCGGGTGTGGCTCTATGACCACCCTGGCGCGCTGCTTCTACGAGGTCAGCCAGGCAGCCCCTCGCACCCGCCTGCATGCGATCCCGGGCATCCGCGCGCCGGGAAGCCATCTGCTCTGATGGGAAGATGACTACCCCGCGCCCAAGCGGGTCGTCTGAGGGTCGTTCTGGCGCGGCGGGCTCAACCTCGCCGACGTCGGGGAGGAGCTGCCGTCCGAATGGGTGCATATCGGGGTCGAGACCAGGTGCCCCCTGGGAGGCTGCCTGCGTTTCGCCCGCGTCGCTGCCAGTCCCGACGCAGGGCCAGCTATCCAGATCATTCAGGGCTGCGCCCGCGCGCGCGTTCCACAAGCGGGCGCGCTGCTGCCCCGCCGCGTCTGGCAGGGCAAGCTCGCGCACGTTGTCTCCTGTTTCTCCACATGAGGAGAGGAGGAGGCGGACGAGGGCTTTGTGGAGCTGCAGCTGCAGGCTGCTGCGATCCACCGTCGCATCCATCACCTCACTGGGGGGCAGGTCGGTAGCTGCCAGAAAGAAGCGGCGGAACAGTTGCAGGGCTGGTTCGAAGTGGGGTGGGGCCCTCTCCACCTCATTTGGCGCCGCTGGGGCGCGCGCGCCTGGGGGGGCTGCCGCGCCTGCGTTCGGGTGGGGTCGTTTAAGGGTTCCTGGAGCGTGGCCCGCACGCAGTTGCGCGTCGTTGGGGGGGGGCTGCTCGGGTCGGGCGCGCCTTCGCATTGCGTCGCCAAAGGGGGAGAAGTGCCACGCCCGTCCGTCGGCAACGAGTCGCTAGGGTTGCTGGTTGATGGGGGGCGGGGAGGCGGCGCGGAGGCATGCGGGGCGCCTTCGCCACTCCCTTCGTTTGGGGGCGACCTTTCCTGCAAATCCGCAGGTCTGGCGGGGGTGTCAGGGGGGGCGGGGCGCTCGCCACGGTTGTCCTGCTGGGCGGGGGGGGCGCCGCGCCGCGCCCCCCGCCAGCGCCCCCGCCAGCGCCCCCGCCAGAGGGGGTGGGGGCGGCTGGACTATGCCCTTGCGCGCTCTGATTACGCGTGCAACCGGCAGGGCGGGCGCCTCGGTTCCTCCGCTGATTCCCCACGCGGTTTCTGCGCCCCGGAAGGTCTCGCGGCCCCCGCCCTGGGCCGCCTTCTGCCCTGCATCCTGCGCGCGACGGCTGCAAGTGCGGCGCCTGCGCCTTCGGCATGGACGCGGGTCGAGGTTGCCTCGCCCCCGCTGCCTCTAGCGCCCGGAACGCGCGGAAGCGGCGCGCGCGCTGCGTATGCTGGGTCAGCGGGGTTTCGCGCCCATTGTGCAAAAGGGGAGAGTCTTTGGGTGGCCTCACTGACCATTTCCCTCACCATCTGGTCGTAGTGGTCTGGGTCAAGGGAGGCGGGGTAGATGCACTGGAAAATCCAACAGGTCAGGGCCACTGGCCAAGCGCAGCGCTGCAAGGGCCGTTCCGCGCGGCACCGCCCTGCCTCCACGCGCACCCTTGCTTCTATTCATGTGGCGAGCGCATGCTGCCGGCGCGGCGGAAGAGTACCTCCGAACCGTCCGAGCAACAACTGGGCGGCGCGGAGGGAATCTGGAGCTGCCGCCGGGGGAGACACCGGCCGGGGGCGCACCGCGGCAGCAGCAGTCAGCGGGGCGGAGAGGGCGGGGGGGACCGTTGCTTGGTTGTTCCGTCTGGCCGCCCTCGCGTCGCCACAAACGAGCTGCGCGCGCATCCATGCAGTGGGCCTCTGGATGCTGCTGTCTGCTGTCTGCAGAACCGCTGCCGCGGGCATGACTACCGCGACCCAAGCGGGGGCGCTGGCTGCTAGGGTCGCAAGCTCGCCCAGCGTGGCGACAGAGACCTGTCCTCCTGCGAGCATGGAGAAGATGGCGCATTCTCCTGGGCCAAGGCTGACGTCGACGCCTCGGGCGCCCATGCCGTCGCCAGCCGCCAGCACTTCAGGCGCGCGAGCTGACGGAGCCAGCTCGCGCACAGCGTCGACGTGGCTGCCCACCCGTTCACTGGAGAGTGGGGGGGGCTCTGTCTGGGGGATCTTCACATTGATTAGAATCCGCCGGGACTGGCCAGACTCGGGTGCATATCCGGCAGACGACCAGCCCAATCCTTCCGCGGGCAGCCCGCAACCTTCTGCGCGGGGGAAGCCAATCGGCCGGGTCCAACGGTCGGGCGGCGGGCCGTCCGATGACGGAGCCTGCGCGATCAAGTCTAGTGGTCTGAAGGACCCGTTGCTGCTCAGCTGCTCGCATGGCCGCGATGACGCCAGGTAGGGCTGCGGCCTCCAGGTGCGCCTCCAATGTCCAGTCGAGCGAGGGGGGGTCCGCTGTTATTCTTGAGTAGGGGTGGCAAGAACGATTCTGAAGATCTGACTGTCTACTCGTAAATTGCCGGCCAGTCCAAAGGCGTCGCGCATGGGCCCTTCCCTACCGGGTGCCAGGGTGATCTGGAACATGTCCTGGTAGTCGTCGGAGTCAGGGTGCCAGGGGTGGACTGGGTGCCAGGTTCCGATTGCATACAATCCAGCAGTGGCCTCGATGGCCTGAATTATGGACTGGGGGTCGCCTTGCCCCAGGGCGTCTACGTTCCATCGCCTGCGGTGCCCCTCCTCTTGGTCTTCTAGAAAGGCCAGGGGGGGGACTGGTGTGCGTGGTGGGCTTGGGAAATCCTTCTTGGGACAACGGCGCGAGGCTCACCGTGGTCGGCGATGGCTCGCGGGATTGTTTCGCTGAGGTGCCGTAGGATAGGTGCAGCAACGTGCGCCGTGGCATTCAGTAGAAGTAACCCTCTGGCAGTCATGCTTACCTGGTGCCCGAACGCTGCGGCGGCTCTGGTCGCATAGAAATACGCGAGGGGGAGGGCTCCAGCTCGCGCGGGGATATGCACTGATTCGACCATGTCGATTCGGCGCCATGCGCTGGAACGCCGGCGCGTTCGAACTGCTGCGCATGCGCGTACATCTGATCGAGGGCCCGTGCCGCAGCATTGGCCCGCTTCGGGTTGCCTTCAGTCGTGCAGATTTTAAATGTATGTTGCGCTAGGGATGTTATGCCTGCCTGGAGGAAACCATGGTTGCGTGGTAGCAGTAGTAGTAGTAGTAGTAGTAGTAGTAGTA